TCTCTAATCTCCCCCGCTCTCTCCCTCTCTATCTATCTATCTATCTATCTATCTATCTATCTATCTATATCCTATATATATCAACTATCTATCTAACTATCCTCTCCATCATCTCTGTCTGTCTGTCTATTTATCTCTCTCTATTCTGTGTCTTCACCTATTTTCTCTCTAATCTCTCTTTCTCTCTCTCTCTCTCTCTCTCTCTCTATCTACCTATATCCTATATATATCAACCTTCTATCTAACTATCTTCCCCATCATCCATCTGTCTGTCTGTCTATTTATCTCTGTATCTCTCTGTTCTGTCTATCACCTATTTTCTCTCTAATCTCTATCTCTCTCTCTCTCTCTATCTATCTATCTATCTATCTATCTATCTATCTATCTATATCCTATATATATCAACTATCTATCTAACTATCCTCTCCATCATCTCTGTCTGTCTGTCTATTTATCTCTCTCTATTCTGTGTCTTCACCTATTTTCTCTCTAATCTCTCTTTCTCTCTCTCTCTCTCTCTCTCTCTCTCTATCCTATATATATCAACAATCTATCTATCCTCTCCATCATCTGTCTGTCTATCTATTTATCCTCTATCTCTTTAGTCTATCTATCACCTATCTATCGCTGTTCTGTCATCTGTCTATTCCATCATCTCTCTATTCATCTGTCTCTATCATCTATCTCCATCCATCCATCCATCCATCCATCCATCCATCCATCCATCCATCCATCCATCCATCCATCCATATCATCTTTCTCTTTCTCTCTCCCTCTCTCTCTCCTCCCCCCCTCACTCTCCTGTCTATCTCTCTATCATCTCTATCTTTATAAAATATATTACTTACTTCAAGGTAACTCTGGGCTGAGTTTATTTATAAATAAATAAATACATTTACTTAAAATCGATTAATTTCTAAAATTTACACGCTGCCCCATCTCGCTGTTAGAACTCCCTAGCTTAGCCCTGCTCCCAAATGTGGCCAGAAGTCACGGACCACCTCAAATTTATTTACAAGGTCGTTAAACGAGTCACATTCAATCGTACAAGCTTTTCCTCGCTCCGGTTGTTAAGCAAAATATCAGTGCGGTTGTTAAGTGAATTGTGCAGTCCTTAAGCGAATCCAGCTTTCCCCTTCGCATTGAGTTTGCTGGTCTGAACCTCACCTGCGAGGGGCTGTTTTGAGGCTGGGGTCCCCCGTTTCCTTCCTGGCCTTCTGCTTGTTGCCGCGTCAGGCCTGCCAGCACCGTCTGAAGGCTGCTGGCCAAGGACTCCAGTTGGGTCAGGCGTCCGGTGAGCGCCAAATTCTCAGCCTGGAGAACTGCCTCCTGGCAGGAAAGACAATGCAGCATGCCAAATTTTTGAAAAGCTCTCCTGCCATTTAGGGGAAAGGGTGTTGCATGGTTTAGTTCAGGATAAGAGCTGGGAGGGACCTTGGAGGTCTTCTAGTCCAACCCCCTGCTCAAGTAGGAGACCCTATACATACCATTTCGGACAAAAGATTGTCCAATCTCTTCTTGAAAACCCACAGCGATGGAGAAGGAAGGAAGGAAGGAAGGAAGGAAGGAAGGAAGGAAGGAAGGAAGGAAGGAAGGAAGGAAGGAAGGAAGGAGGAGGGATGGAGGGAGGGAAGGAAGGAGAGAGAAGGGAGAGAAGGATTAGAGGGAAGGGAAGGGAGTGGGGGAAGGGAGGGAGGGAAGGAGGGAAGGAAGGAAGAAGAAAGGAAGGAAGGAGAGAAGGGAAGGAGGGAAGGATTAGAGGGAAAGGAAGGAAGGAGAGAGAAGGGAGGGAAGGATTAGAGGGAAGGAAAGAAGAAAGGAAGGAGAGAGAAGGGAGGGAAGAAAGGAAGGAAAAAAGAAAGGAAGGAGAGAGAAGGGAGGGAAGGAAGGATTAGAGGGAAGGGAAAGAAGGGAGGGAGAGGAAGGGAGGGAGGGAAGGAGGGAAGGAAAGAAGAAAGGAAGGAAGGAGATAAGGTAGGGAGGGAAGGATTAGAGGGAAGGGAAGGAAGGAAGGAGAGAGATGAGAGGGAAGGATTAGAAGGAAGGGAAAGAAGAAAGAAGGAGAGAGAAGGAAGGATTAGAGGGAAGGGAAGGAAGGAGAGAGAAGGGAGAGAGGAAGTATTAGATGGAAGGGAGGGAAGGAAGGAAGGAAGGAAGGAAGGAAGGAAGGAAGGAAGGAAAAAGAATAGCAGAATAGGAGAGTAACACAGTTGGAAGGGACCTTGGAGGTCTTCTAGTCCAACCCCCTGCTCAAGCAGGAGCAAAGCTCCCTTTAACCAGGGTCTCGCTTAGCAGCAAAGGCTCCCTTGTGGTCACAAGTCGAGGACTACCTGTGTTTCCCTGCCGGGCTGAAAGGAATCTACATTTTGGAAGGTCTCACCTGTGTTTGAAGCAGTGGCTCCTTGGGGAGGTGCAGTTCCTCGAACTGCCTGACGAGGGCGCCCTCAGGCCGGCCTTTGCAACTGCAACGGCAACACACGCACACACACACACACACACACACACACACACACACACACACAAATTGAGGGTGTGATTGGCCAGCTGGGCTGAAAGTGGATCAAACTCCCTCAGCCACTCCTTTGCCCAGGAATCTATTCAGGGTGGATCTAATTAGAGCCGTTTTGTTGACGCTCAACTTTATAAATGTCTAGAAATGCAGATATGGGCTTTGGATGCAGATTTCCCCTTCCCCTCCTCACCCTCCCTCGTTCTCTCCTTTCCTTCCCACTCTTCTTAGCCCTCCCTCCTCACTTTCCTTCTTCCCTTCCTTCCTTCCTTCTGTCTTTCCTTCCTCTCTGTTCTCACTCTTCCTTTCCTTTTCCTCTGTCTTTTCTTTCTTTCTTTCCTTCTTTCCCTCCCTCCGTGTGTCTCTTTCTTTCTTTCTCTCTTCCTTTCTTTCCCTCTGTCTTTTCCTTCCTTCCTTCTCTCCTCCTCTTAGCCTCCCTCCTCTTCTTCCCTTCTTTTCTTCCCTCCTTTCTCTCTGTTCTCTCTCTTCCTTTCCTTTCCCTCTCTTTTTATTCCTTCCTTCCTTCTTTTCTCCTCTTAGCCTCCCTCCTCTTCTTACCTTCCTTCCTTCCTCTCTGTTCTCTCTCTTCCTTTCCTTTCCCTGTCTTTTCTTTCTTTCTTTCTTTCCTTCCTTCCTTCC